GGGGGGGGGGCTCACCTTAGGGTAGCGCTTCAGGTAAGGCTTCAAGAGCTTCTCCGCCTCCTCGATGTTGACGTTTCCGGTGCCTGGAGGAGGTGGGGACACAACACCGGTCCTATGAGCCTCCACCTTCCCTTACGGTGATCAGTGATCGGACTTCCTGCCTCCAAGGCGATGGGAGCCTGGGGCACCGCAGGGCCCTTGGCCAGGCGCCCATGCTCGCTCACCAAGGCTAGATCAGGAACCACCCAGGGCCGCCTGCCTACAGCCTCCTCCAGGGGTGCAAGCAGGGGACACAAGCGTCCCGTTTCAGATAAGAAAACCGAGGCCGGCACAGGGCCCTCGATGGGGCTGTGTTGTTGCGGGGTGTAGGGTGCCCTCGAGCCCCGCCCCCACCGCCCTTCCAGCGCCCGCCGGCCCTACCGAGCACGAAGGTGAGGAAGGTGTGGTAGCAGAGCAGCAGCATGACGCAGAGCACGGCGCGGAAGCTGTGGCCCGACGCGCCCTCCTCCAGCTGCAGGAGCCCGTAGTCCTGGGGGCACAAAGGGGCGGCTGAGGGCCTCAGGGAGGAACAGGGGTGCTGGAGACCCCTGGGCAGCTGTGAGATGAGGGCCGGCCGGGAGGGCAGTGGATCCGAGGGTGGCACTCAGGGGGCAGGGGCAGCTGCTCCGGGGCTGTGTCACCCTCTCAGTGCCTCAGTTGCATTTCTAGGGGCAGGGGCCACTGTTGCTACCCACTCCACAACCCTTCTCTTGATGCTGAGAGATCCCTGGCCGGCTCCAACAGGGGCCTCTTAGCGGCCGGCAGCCCCGGGTGTGGTCGGAGAGGAGGGATGGCAAAGAGGTGGATGACTCTCCTCCGCAGGCTCAGGGCAGAGGCAGAGCCATGGGGCTTCCAAGAGGAGGGAGCTAGCTGCAGCTGGGCTGGGGGGAGCCAATGGCCAGACGCCACCTGTTTCCCTAACGCGCCACCTCAGCCGGTTTGTCCTCAGTGCTCTTTCTAAAAGCCACCTCTCCCCTGCCTCAGGGGGGCTTACAGCTGCCCTCCTGCGGGGCAGAGACCCTAGAGAGGTGCTGGAGGCCTCTCGACGCCCTCCCCCCACTCTAGATCTTCTCGAGCTGTTCCCTCCTGACATGGTCTCCAAGTCCTACACATGTCCCAGAGAGGCAGCTTCCAGAGCCTCTGGCCAGTGTTTCCCCAAACAAGACCACCAACGCTGGTGCAGCCACACCCATCTCAGGTCCAGGGTGCTTTTCCACGGGAAGCAGCCTTGGTGGGCCACGTGGTCAGGTTGGGCCTTTTTAAGATGGTTCGGCCTTTATAGTATTTATTTTTATGGCTACACTCTTATCATGCCAAGTAATGATATGTTTCCTTTAAATAAGTCTGAATAAAAATTATGAGTCATGTTAGAGAGGAAAAGGTAATCATATAGGGGGTTGTGGTGTGTATGGCAAACAAGCAAAAGCAGGGCCTGAGAAAATGCAAGTTTGGAAAATTGGTTCAATCCCCTCATTTTACCCACACAAAGGCCCTGCAGAAGCAGGGTTCTGCTGAGAGTGATAAGGGGCCGAGGCTGGGCTGGCCCATGTCACCGACTTCCAGGCCAATGCTCCTTTTCCTCCACCCAGCTGCCTCCCTTAGGAAGCAACCTCAAACCAGTGACTCCTGTCTGGAACTTGGATCCTGCTCTTGGTAAAGGCTCTGGGTGCCTGAGTCCTCTGCTTCCACCTCACTTTCTGATTCCACCCACAGCCTAAAGTGGAGTGGTGTCCAAGGTACCTGACCCCTGAGCACTGCACCCACCCTTACCCCACGTGGTTCAGGCCAGGATCATTGGCTCCTTTTGAGAAGAGAGGAAACAGGCTCAGAGAGGTTCAAGGCTTTGTCCCGAATCACTCACTGAGGGACCCGGCCCCATAACCCTTCTTCCTCTCCCGGGCATATCAGCTCCGGTCTTGGGATGAGGACCGGGGCTGGAGGTGGTATGTACCTTATTTCCTGAAAACCCCACGAACTCCAGCAGCCGCAGGATCCTAGTAGGAAGCATGGACAGTGTCTGCAGGAACAGAGACAGGCAGCAAGTGGTGGGGCAGAGCTGGCTCCCCAGGAGCCCTGGGGCTAACCCTAGACTTGCAGTCCTGTGGCCAGATCAGCCATGAGGAGGCCCAGGTTTTCGGACCTACAAATGTTCCAGCGGTTCTCAACCTTCCTAATGCCTTAAATATAGGTCCTCATGTTGTGGTGACCCCAACCATAAAATTAGTTTCATTGCTACTTCATAACTGTCATTTTGCTATTGTTATGAATCGTCATGTAAATATCTGTTATGCAGGATGTGTTTTCATTGTTACAAATTAAACATAACTAAATCATAGTGATTAATCACAAAAACAATATGTAATTTTGGATTGTGAAATATTTATTTCTATTTAAAAATAAGTGATATTTTGTCTTGGAGCATGGTGTAGCATGGATAATAGTCTTCACCAGAGTGTTCATATGTGGGCGTATCTGCATGTGGGTGGACCCGTCTGGAGAGAGATAGAGGAGCTGTGTCTTGGTTCCTAAGACCTTTGGAAATATGTGTTTTCTGATGGTCTTAGGTGACCCCTGTGAAAGGGTCATTCGACCCCAAACGGGTCGCGACCCACAGGTTGAGAACTACTGCCCTAGAGTGTCAATTAAGGGCACTGACTACATCCAAATCC